GGTGGGGCGTCCAAGGCGTCCGTCGCGGTCTTCTATGAAGAGCTTGAACCTCTTATAAACATTCTTTTCTTTTTTTTTGCTTAACCAGACTCGCCAAACGCTGCAGTCAACATCCTAGCTGCGTTGAAGCACTCAATCTGGTTTTTCACTCGAAATTCAATACCGATTCTATGATTTATTTTTTCGATGACAAAAAATCGGCCAGTCCACTGAAACACATCTAACCTAATCTGTCAAATATAAACTAAGAATGCAAAATGGCTCATAATGCCAACATATATTGGAAGCATGCGTACCAACAGAAAAAGAAAAAAATTCGAAAACTGAATTTACGTAACCCACGAAGTTTGAAAATCAGATCTTTTTTGTTGATCACATCTCGTGTGCAACTTAGAAAAATGTTTTTTATAACCTAACTGTCAGGTAGTTGCATTTATGCAAAGAAAATCACATTTTTCCTCTTTAAAGATCGGGGAGCGCCAAGTAGCCATTTCTACTTGCCCAGAGCAGCCGATAAATAATAAATTGCACGACGGTGTGTTTGATGGAACTGCAATTGCCATAACACCTAACCTAAGCCATTAATAATCGCGTATTGGTATATAAATATACAAAATACGCTCAACACTGACTTAGAAAACTTTGTATCCCATTACTGCGCGATTTTCATAGCATTCCTTTTGTAATTTGAAATGAAATCAAAACTAAACCAGATGTTTACTCTTTTCGGCCCATCTTATAAAAAAAAGAAGTACAAATTAGCGCCTTTGCAGTCTTTTTGATTGTGGGCGTGCCGATAGATTTTAAAGAAGCATAACCATTCTCGATTTGCGATCATTTGGAATTGTATTTTCCTTACAAATTGGCTTTTCAAGCTATACGATTAGTTAAAAGCTTTTAAGTTAAAGCCGATTCATGAAAGCATATTTTCGAATTCCATGGGTAGAATGATGTAAGAAAAGGAAAAAAGCAAACAAAAACACTAGAACGCGCGGCTAAACAAAAAGGCTTAAATTTACGCTACGGACCTCCTCAGATAATAGTTTGCGCTTCACAAGTAGTAAACCGCATTGTGGCGTATCTGCCGATTGTCAGCGTAATTATAAACTTGGTGTACTCAAAATGTTGGTATTAGTACAGGATAAATAGAAACGTGAGTGCACCAATTGGAGATTAGAGCCCGAATACATACCCGTATAGAAACACAAAAGTATTAAGTTGTATTACGTCTTAAGTTAAGGGATCGAATACCTATGTAACGTTTCCTGTATTATAGGAATAAAGATCTATGGGCTTCGTACGCCATAAAATTCACTTTATTTGCGATAGTACGCGACGTTCAAAGGTGCACTCTTGGTTACTGAGGCCCGTTTTGGGTTAAATCTAAATTTAATAAATAGACCGCGAACGGCTACTATTACTGCCAATGGAGAAACTTCTTCATATCTACGCCATGTATCGAACACTTTGTCTTTCTTCTCTTGTTGTTCAAAACAAAAATGTCACCAAATCCATAATCTTACGCTGATACGGAGAGCGTACGTATTTTGTGTGCGGCCCCTCAATGGTGTAAGTTTCTTTAGTAATACGAATGTTGCCATTATTGACAGTCCTCTGCTTGGGCTGACCTTTAGAGCTTTCATTTTAACATGGGTAGAAATGAAGTTGTTATAAAAAGCAAAAGAACAGAGTATAGTTTCATTGACAATATAAATTGGAATCCAAATTTTAGAATCCAAAAGTTTGCGTACAAGGACCAAATATGTTTTAGAAAATTTTTATAAAAAATTTTTATTCAAAACTTTTTTAAAATTTGTTCTCTAACTTTTTTGTTCGATAGTGTATTCCCGAAAAAATGTTGTTGGTAATTTTTTATAAAAACTGCTTTTGAATTTTTAGCCCAAAAAAGAAATCCTTGTCTTTGAACATATGGTCACCTTCTCGTAAAATGCATGTTTACGTCAATTATAAGTTACTAAAAGACGTTGAACGTTTATCGTTTTAACATTAGTTAAATATCTAACAATGGAGAAATAATGTTTACATTATACCACTAATCTAAGTATCTATATAAAGCATATTTGTGTTCGTATCGGCTTTGATTAAATGGACAAGATAAATTACTTCAATTGCTTTGGAGTAGAAATAATTGATAATATAAGATAATCGAAAACAGACACACACACGGATGCATACACACAGGCACGCGCCACATTTAACTAAAAGAGAAGGTAATTAAATTCTCGAATAAAGAACGAATTCTCTCCGCACTGTTTAAAATAAGTCCTTAAATTTTATCACAAAATTTAATACACATTATTTATTCAATATACACAGAACAAAAAAAAAAAAAAGAAGGAAATTATTTCTATAATATGTAAGTGCATGCGAATCAACTGTTAGTGAATGCAAATTAATATTTTCTAATTAGTCAATAAATCTCAATTAATATCATATGTTGATTTTATGCTTGAAGGCATTGCTGTTGCTTTTATTATTGTTGTTTGTGGTTTTGGTTATAAATTATTTTACACAATATACGTTTGTTGCCATTTTCGACAGACAAGCTGCATATATATATATATGCATATATGTTTATATATTCGCGTCTATGGATATGCATACAAGTGTGTGCATGTGTATAGATGCGTTTATGTTTGTATTTGTGTTGAACAGTTTATTACCGTATATCCAAAACAGTAATCGCATACACTTATATGGCAGACACGAAGCATATGAAATCTCGGCTTTACTTAATAATTATGTCTAACACATACTAGTTAAACAAATACGTGCTTAATATATATCATATATAGAAGAGACCATGTAATGCATACTTGCATATGTTTGCACCCGCATATATAGGCATATAAGGAAACAAATACATTGAAACAAGGCTACTGCTGTATTATCTCTGTCTAACTTGTACATATTTATATAGATGCCCTTTACATATGCGTTTGTGCTTAATATACATAATCGCACCTAATTGTATAGGCTTGAAATTGCCGCAAGTGCTACTACCAATGCTCTTTCATTGATTTTGCTAATATATAAATTATTTAACATTGTGTGAGATATTGAACTCATATACCTAAGCGTGTGTTTGTGTATTTATTACGAGCAAATACACAAATACATTTCATTTTCAATTATACCTATTGCTTATAAAACTCTAGAATAGCACTTAAATAATAATGAACTTTAAATGAAATTGTAAATAATTTTTGTTTTTATCTTTTTATCGATAATTTCTTCTATAATTGTATGAAATGATTAACAATTTATGAAAATACTTAAAATTTTATAGATTTTAGTTATCATATTAAAGTTGATTAAGCTACTTATCAGAACCGAGTTTGCATTAGCAAGCCCTTTTCTGGGTGGATTGAGTTTACATGGCTAAGCAATTATTTCAATACTCTTTCTTCTTTTTTTTGCACCAAGTGCTTCGGGAGTGATGATAGAAAGTTTTTATTAGAAACGACGATGTCCACTGGGTATTTAGTAGAACCTATATAATAATAAATCTAATGTCGACGACACCAAATTTCCATGCAGAAAAAGCGTAGGTTATGTATATGCTTGAAAGACGTAAGACTTGAAATCGGTGTGCGACGAGGTGCACTAGATACCCAGTGCAATATATGTGATAATAAACCTAATCTATCCCCACCTAGGATACCGAGAGTAAAGCATAACTATGCATATGCTCGAAGTAGAATATTAGTTCTCTATTGGTCCTTCCTTTGTTGCCAGAACGTATCGGCTAAGAAAGCGTCTGGCAAGGTAAAAATGTACGTAAACCGCTCGCTAGCATGCTCACAATTGAGAAAACTTTGACCGCTGATATATTGCACACACATATAGGGCCATTTCAACACCGAGTTCGCCAATGGGACGATTTGAGCTTCATCTTTTTGAATATGTGAGGCATGTAAGATTAAAAAAATTATAGGTGACTTTTACTTACGTGAAAAGACTTTTAAATACCTATTACTAATTTGTTTTCTTCCTGATTTAGTTTTCGAGATACTAAAGACATATACCTACCAAAGGGGTCAATGTGGGCCTAAAATTGTGATGGAAGCGCTGCAAATCAAATAGGATGCTGAAAGTTGGCAAGAATCCCCCAAAAGGAGGTATAAGTGTTATTTGGTTGCATGCTTGTACACAATATGGAAAAAACTAGAAAAAACATCGCTAACTTTTCCATGCCTTGATCAATAGCTTTCGATCTCGTGGAGATATCTCTGAAAAGCTTTCACCCAGGCATTTGCTAGGACCTTTATGTACGATACAAAAATAGTTCCGATCGATTCACTAACATGCACGATACCCTTAACCATCTATCACTTACAAAACACTACAACTTACTCTTTGTAGCAGTTTGGTGTGTGAAGTACAGCTCGACAGTACCATTGACGAGTATTATTAAAACTGTAGTGAAGAAATCGACAGCGTCCTATTGAAAATGATTATTAGCAAGTTCACCGTTTGCGACTTTCTCTGAATGACTTGTCATTTAAGAAGAAAACAAAAAAGCCGCCCATAATTGACCAAAGCTTGTAGCTTACAGTTTATAAGAGATATTGGTCTATGCAATATATTTTGGCGACTGGTAAACAGTCAAATTAAAGTGATATTGATTGACCGTTAGATCATCTGACTGCCACTGTTGCGCTGCTTTAAGAGGAAAGTAACTTTCTGACTATATTTATGTCAGATTAAGGAAGCTTTCCTACAAGACGAATATAACCGCACAATATTTTTTTTTTAAATTCGAGAATTTCTCCTCTTATCCGTCGCCTACTAGAATAGATGTTTCGAATAAATGTTTAACTTTCGTGGATATATTTACTTTTCTTTGACCTAAATATTTGAACAGAGCTTCTTTTTTGTTATTATGACTTGAAGAATGCAACGATGCAAATGCAAATTTTTTTTTTTTTTTCAATTTTTTCTTCAATTTGTGGTTCTCTTATATATGATTTGCTTACCTGAGTTTCGGTGACATTTAATAGTTTAGCCATTTCTGTGCGTTCACTTGAACTTAGGTACTTTTTAATCTCAAACTGTTTTTCCAATTCAAATATTTGACGTCCTGTAAATGTAGTTCTGGCTTTTTTCTTTCGTCTTGCATCGCACGAACCAGAATCTGAATCGTCTTCAGTGGTCTCGACCATATGCGTTGTTGAGGCAGGCGGTGTAGAACTGTTGGTCGCCGCTGCCGAACGTTCACGCATCAATGTATCACTACTGGCACTGGTCGGACTTACATCTGGCGGTTGTGTTAAGGTCGCTGATATACTTGAGTTCATTGCCATAGCGGCCGATGTAGGCATCCCTGCCGTTGACAATGATGAGTTATTTGGTTTTTTCTTTTTAACACTTGGCTTTCCCGTGTGACTAGCATCTGTTAAGGGTGAGAAGGAAAAGAGAAATAACATTAAAAACAGAGAGAAAAAAAAAAAAAAAACATAACCAGAATATAAAACGTCAACAAAAATTAATTAAAATCTACGGTAAATATAAATCAATTTTTTTTTTTTTTTTTCGTTCTGTTTAATAGCATTTTTATTTAATTTAATATGTTTTCCATTTAATTAATTGCCTGATGATTAATTCAATATTTTCACAGTGCGTTGCAGTGCAGTGTTATTGAGCTGTTAACGTTGTATTATAAGCGAGCGTGCATATGTATATATATACATATATTGTTTACTACTTAATACTCTCATTCTGCGTTCTACGTTGCTGTTATTGCCGCATTATTGCGATTGTTGGTGCTTTTGTGCTGTTGCCATTAATAATAACAGCAACAATGATTTTATAGCCAGACATTTACAATTAAAAGCATTTTCGTTTTATTATTGTTATTACCGTTGTTGTTGTTATTGTTGTTGTCGTTGTTATTGTTGTTTAAATGTAAATATTATATCGTTACAGTATTGTTGGGCTTAATTTTCAGTTTTTATTACTGTTGACATATTACTTATACGATATTAAAAGTGTACGTCAAAATTGTGAGCGTGCGACACGGCAGAGGAGGGTGAGAAGGAAGAGAAGGTCTTTGGATATTCAACATCAATTGAGTCACATATGCTTGCGTGACCGTTGAGTTTATAGAGAATTGTTTTATATCTACTACTTTACAGCTTTGATGTCTGTCTCCCTGCCTTTGTTCTTTTCACTTTGAAATTTTTCCGATTATTTCTTTGTATATTTATATTTATTGATTATCAAATTGCATTTTATTACAAAACCTTATTTTCTACATTAAAACCTAATTGATTTTATTCGTGTTATTTGTGCACTATGTGGTCGTACGATTTGAATTCAATTAATCATTTTAAATGTCAGTTCAAGCTTTAAGTACGGAATGACTGATTGTTTATCTAGCTAGAGTCGAAATGCGCTTTGCGTTGGTCTGGTCTTTATTTATCTTTAACCGCGAAACTAGTAAAGCAACGGGAATATTATATGTGAGTAGCAAAAGTCGATTACTAACACCTACTATTAATCAAATTACAAATTGCATTTACGTCCACTGCAGCAATGCAGGTGACTACGTTATCATATCGTGCTTAGAAGACAGAAACTTGCCTTATGCATGCATACTTAAATAAATTTATGTCTTTCATTTATGTTTCTCCATCGGCTTTTTCTTCTATCCAAATCACTTATATATTAAGATCCATCTGCACATAAGTACAGTTGCAATTGGAAAAAGTACCATTCAAGCTCGGCGTTAGCTTAATAAGTTTAATGGCCATTCTCTTCCAACGGAAGCAGTACCATATTGCAAGTCCAAGAAAAAGTGGCGGATACGCAAGAAAGCATCGAAAAAAAATTTTTGAGAATTAATCTCGAGAATCAAAAGGTCACGTTGGAAGGGATAGAAGTCATACTAAAAACATAATCATATTATTAGCGCTGTTTTTGTTTTTTAATATCGACTCTAACAACGCGCGTTGCAAGGTGTCGTTAACTAAGAGGGGGGAAGATATAGTGCGAAGTATTGATTGACCGACGAATAAGTTTCGCTTTGATAAGTCATTATGTACGTTTTAATTGCTGTGGAATGGACTGGCGATTACTTCGTCACCACCGCTGCAATTATTCAGTATCGGCTTACGGTCTTCAGTACTTCCCTTTCAAGTTAGAAGTGATATTTACCCTTTTCAACCACCACTGCTGTATTACACAAATACTCGGTTAATGATTATTCTATTACCGCAAGCATAGATATATTTATATGTTTGTAAAAATATATCTTTCTGTCTCATCTCAAAAAATCATTAAAAGTGCGTGATAACTTACATTCTTCATTCTCCTAGAGTGTTCTTTAATTAGCTATTGTGACAAGGTTATGTATCTTTTAATGAGTTAGTACTAAAATATGAATGTGCTAAGACATGTCGAGTACGTCTTTGAGATAAGAAAAAAAATAAATATTTTTCTTGTTGCACGCATTTAAATTGTCTTAACACAAAAGCAAAGCCCGCTATATATAAAGAAATGTTTGGAATAATACTTTGTCACGCTGTTTCCTGGTTTATTTAGCTTATCGTCACACCTGGCGGAAAATTTAAGATTAATGGGAAAGAAATCCCAATACTGCAGAAAATGTAGTTACGGATATTTCACGAATTCCTTTCAATAATTGCTTTCTGAAAAAAGTGGCGTTGAATAGAGCTGACATCTAATTGGTTAGATTAACCATTAAAATCTTATCAAAGGCTTTAGCAATTGGCAATAGTCTACACCAAAAATTGTTCCCCAACTCACGATCAAGTCGAAAGTCTAACCCGTATTAACAAATACTTAATGGCTGTAGGTAGCTATGTATGTAGGTATTGAATGTAAGCGTAATTCTGAATCTCTTGCATTCTTTCTTCCACGACAGAGTTTCGCACTACCTCGTATTTATCCGATTTTCATAACAACTTCACTTAGTGTTTCTTCTTTTTAAAACTTAAAAACTGCAAGCGGCTTTTCAAACACAACTGCATATCTGGCTCAAAAGTGAATCAAGATTGTATATACTTTATAGTGTAGTTGAAGTTTAATCCTAAATAATCTTGCAAAACTTTCAGCTATTTGATAACTGGGATTAGAATCACGTAGGTAGAGGTAGGACTAGAAGAGATTTCTTCTGTTGCTATTCAACGGAATTCCTCGCTTAAAGAGATGACACAGAGAATCGTGAGTTTGGATGAAATAAGGAATAGGGAAGAGACAGAGAGAGAGACGGAGGAAAACACGGAGAGAAAGAGAGGGGGTGATTAAGAGAGCGCGAGGGGGTGACGAAGACAGGAAGAGGGAAAGAGAGGGAGAGAGGAAGAGAGAGATATAAAGATAGCGAGAGAGAGAGAGAGAGAAACTAAAAGTTGATACAGTCCCTTTAATTTATTCTGATATCACTTTCCTTACCACGGGATCAGCCGCTGTGTAAGGCAATACTACATTACACTCATTAAGTTTTGGTAAAAATTGCTTGCAATAGTTATAAACATCTTACAAACTTTTAAAGTTGACAGTTACGGCAAGTGTTAGTAAACGTTTAAACAATAATCGCTAAACTTTTAAATGTATAAGTGTGTGATCAGGTGTGATCTGTGTAGGATCTCTAATGAATTTATTATTTGTTTGTTACAAATGTCGTGACAACATTAACGTAACATTGCTTCGGATTCGGTTCGATAATAAAGATGTTAAGTCTTTGCATTCCCGTTGTCACTTCTATTCATATTCCTAACTGTCTGTCTACGAGCAAATAAAACAAGTTGTGCTAATTTCGCATTCAAATGAAACGGCATTAATTTTATCAATTATGAAAAACGATACAACTTTCAATGAGTTATATAATAAACTTAATGAATCAGCTATCTTAGCGGACGGGTTGTTTTAATTAACTCGCACTACCAGAAAATGATTCATATATTTTCCTCTACAATGGTAGGTCATTCTATGTGCTTCACCGTTTATAAAATTCGATATTTTTTAGAAGCTTTACTTTTCAAAGCTGAATTGAATATTTTGTAAATTCGCAGAACAGTCACTGTTGCGGAACGGAACTTCGTATCGTTTAATTTTTAAGGCGAGATGTCGGCAAATGCGTTAATTGTCGTCTTGCCTCAGGTAAGCTGTCTTCTAAATCGCTTTTTGGCAACTGTAACCGCAAATGGTAAACCCTGATCGCCCTCATCTCGCCCCGAGGAACTGAAAGAAATAAATATTTCCGAAACAAAATGGTATAAAATGGACTTCCACGCTGAATTCGGTGAGTTATCAAAGACGAGGAACGATAAATTTAAGTAAAACTTTCCAGCCTAAGATGAAAATTATTTCCTTGATTGGTTTTGCTGGAGACGGATGGACGTATGCGAATATCATTGTCGTCAAGACGGCAAATTTTTTTGCCTGAAATATGTCAAATTTCGAAACCTGCTGCGATTTCGTAACTTGCTGTGTTTTCACTCCAAGCCAGCTTACTCATTTCCCTAGCTTTAACCGAATTTTTTTCCTCTTTAATCCAGTTCAGAACAGGGAAAATCCAGTTTAATAAATCGCTTTAAACTTTACCATACAATAAACGGCATCTGGTAAACAATTGGAACTCACTTTGTTCAAACATCAATATCTAAGTTATTTACACCTGAAATTTCGGGAAAAGTGAGCACGTCAGATAAGCTTTCTGAAGGAACCACTCTCAGCGGAACGGATTTATTTATTGCAGAGGGAAGGCATTCAATAAAGATATACACCCTTCTATCTTAGGCTAAAATCGAACAAAGGCATTACTTGCCCTCGGACAGTGACTAAAAATTGAGTTTCTTCTGCAAAGCAAACTTTAAAGGATCAACGATTAATTTCTTTGTGCCGCTTACCGATAAAAAAAATATAGTTCGGAGTAGAATAGGGTACTCGCTTATCTCATTCGCCAATATTTCAGCAAAGATATTTCGTATTTTCATGTCAAAAAAAGTATTCATCGCGATGCGTGACCAATGCGATTGATTAACTTTCACCAGGGGCGTAAACAAAACAGTTATAAACGTTCAAGCCGATAATGCGTCCAAACCTCAAAATTATTGGCTAATAAAGTTTTTGGAAGCAAATCGGAATGGTTAAGCCATAGGAATTTATTCATTCAGCAGAATGTGACTAAAGTTTAGATTTTGAATTATCGCTCATTCGATGTTTAAACAAAAAAAGGTATTTAGTTTAATTAAAATGTTATCCTTTTATTAAAAAGCATTAAAAACGTATAAACATAATTGTATTTATTTTTATTCCAAAAAAATGTTATAACACTTTTTCAATAACTAATTCATTATAATAAAAAAGTCCAACAAAGGTTTCATTCTCCAATAAAAAGAAGATGATTATATTTATATTCATAGAAAAAAAAAAAACCTATGAAAACAATAAGCAATTAATAAATTAAATTCAGCTACACAATTAATTAAATAAATAAATAATAACAATAATAAAAAAGATAAACATTTTTAAATAAAAAGATAAAAAGAGTAAAAAAAAGAAAAAATGAAATAAAAAATAAAGAAATAAAACCCATATATAAACATTGCAATGACTAACACAATATTAAATGCCAAAGAATAAATTTAGGTCAACATTTCATACAATTATTGTGCACAATATTATTAAGGCTAGAGTAAGCAAGAGTACAGGAAAGAGGTATTTATGAGAAAAAAAATTAAATGCATTTACAGTGAATGAGGAAAAAAGTATGAAACATTTATTCGTTTTAAAGCGACTCTTGGATGCCCGTCGCCAAAAGTAACTTAAACGAGTTAAGCGTATGCGACTTTTTAGCTTATTTGACCTACAAAAGAAGCAGATATGTAAAGGATGGAGGAAAGAATGCATTGAAATACAAGAAAAGTTTGAGAAAGATCCATCTTCTATTATGCCGATCGATTCAGGAAGTGATTCTGATTTGTCTGTCCATCTGTCCTCCTATACGTATTTTTTTCTTTTGTTCAATCTACTTGTAGCAATTTTTGATATATTTTTATGAGATAAGTTTAGGATATTCAATAGTGGGCGTAGCAAGGTATTACGTTTTTTTGCTTGTTTTTTTTTTTTTTTTGTAAAGTTCACTCCACTTAACTTCCAAAACTGAACGATGGTAACGCCAAAACCAATCCGCTACCTTACCATCAAAAAGTATGCTGGCATGTCTGCACAATAAGTTAAAGTCTCCCCCGAGCATCTGCCTCGTCAACGCCTCTACTCTATACAAAAAAGCTTCGACCGATAAGCCCGATAATCCACCTGAAAAACGTATTTTCCAATTGTAGATTATTTGGCCTATTTTGTCGGATGCAAGATTTACGGTATTTGTTGACTGATTGCTAGATCCGTGACGTGAATTTAATTCATTAGTATTTAAATTATTTATTCCTAATAATTGATCCCAGAATCATAAAAGCAATATTTGTTTCTAAAGCGCTAAAGCGTTCATATTTGAGTCCATTCAAGGATTTGTAAATAATTCTTTACTAAATCTATTTTTTCTGGACTTCATTCTCGCAGCTAGGAAGGATACAAAATTCGCCTCTGGGAAGTCATATTCTCTTCAATCTTCATTAAGAGATGGAAGAAGAAGAAGAAGAAATATTTATAGTACTTGAAATTTCGACAAAAGGTTACTGTGAATTTTCGAATGTCTAGTAATTTTCTTTTACATTTCTTAGTAAGTTTTCCTTATTTACATTTATTCTAAATTTGTTTCTTTTTCTTTCTGCAAACCGCAAAAAAGGGACGTGTAGACATTTTTATATATAACCTTGCGCGCACACGCAAAATGAGCGACTAAACGAATTCCATCATAATTTTAATAAATTATTATAGTGTGTACGCTTGATTTTCTTATTCGGTCGCCGTATGTGGTATTTATTTATATAGAATTAGAATATGGTATTTATTTATGCAGAGCGGCACTAATTTTATACCGCTTTCAGGATGGAAAATCATGTGTGGCTGTTGCGCCAGTAGATCCCACAGAAGGCAAGGGAGAAAACGAAAAATTAAAAGTAAACCTAAAGTGAAAGCGAAACAGACCCGCCATTATCCAAAGTCTGAAGACAAGCAAGTCTTCGAGCCAATCAAGGTTAGTTCAGAAAAAGAAATCCAGGGTAAGTCAAAAACACAGGTTTATGAAGAAAGGGAAAAGGAAACTTCTTTCTCTCTCTTACTAGAAGAAGTTGAAGAATGGCAGGAAAGACGGAAAAACGAAAAAGTTAAGCCATCACAAGGTACAACCACAACAAAGGATCCAGGGATATTTGATAGTTGCTTATGTTGCCTTGAACCAGGCGATAGTGACTCGATAATAATTGTAAACGAGAGGCCTCGTGAGAGAGAAAGAAGAGAGCAACGCTTAAGAGAAGAAAATGCACAAAAATGAAGAGTATGTGTATGCGAAAGATATTATTTTAACCTAAGAGAAAAAAACTTCACTTTACAATATTCAAAAAAAGAAAGGACGCGGTCGTCAATTTATACATAGCGACTAAAGTAATTGACAATTATACCAATACTGTGTCACTTTCAATATTGCGATTTATTCAAACACTATGTCCATATGTTTCCTCTCGATTACAGGTTACAGGTTGCTTTCAACATTCTGCACTTATCTTGAAGACTGCATAAATTGATTAGAGTATCATCTTCATTGTACCATCGGTAATCAATACATCTATTTTTTAACTTTCCTATTGTAAACATGTAAGCACATTAGTATATGAGCTTAAATACAATACGCACGCATAATTCTGGGGCCGGTTATTGGTTTTTATTGAGTAAACTCGATCGCAAGTCGGATATGTTATTCGTTAGGGAAAGATTTTTTATTCGATAGCGAAGGCAAGTGTGTACTTTATCGACAGCTGAGAACTCTCTGCTCGTTATCGCTATTGAGCTTACTCGTTACCGTTTGGATATGTTATTCGACAGAGAAAGATTTTTTGTTTATTAGTAAAGGAAAGTGTGCCCTTTATCAATAGCTGTGGACGTTACTATCGCCGTCGAAAATCATGAAATGCCACTCGGGCGAAAATTTCGTTAGATCTCAATTGTAATCGTTCGAGACTCAAATATGGCGAGTGTTATATGTGAAAGGGGCCAGTGGCCTGCCCCCTGATGCAAACTTGAACCTATGCTGCTTTTTAAAACTTTCGATATTTAAAAATTTTAATTATATTTTGAATATTTCGCATTTCGTTTTTTTTTTTAAATCGATACCCACCAACCAACTATTCGCAGCCAATTAAAATATGTCTCGTAATTGGCGTATGTTGTGGCTACAGATTTATAGCAAGATATAGAGGCTAAGCATGCAAGGGAAGTCGGTCTAAACATCGGATATGCAGTGTCCGAGTTTGTTGAAATTTGAATGATAATTTGAACGAAGTATGCTTTCGTTTTCATTTTCTAGCTACGTCAACTTTAATGGAATTGAACATTTTCACAATATAGAAAATAAATGAAAAAATTGCCCCAGTTGAGAAGGAATAATTTACAGTAGTATGGCATGTTTTTATGTTTTATTGTTCAATAAAAAGACTTTTGAACTCAAATTTATTTAAAAATTTTTTACATGAAAACGATATAAGAAAATTTATTAAAATATAATATCCTGCATTCATTTTACGTGCCTGTCCTCGTGCTGTCGAGAATTTGCTTTTATATTGTGTGACTTTTACTTGAAATTGATAGCCGCTGTTTCGCTGTCGCTGAATTCTTCAATCGCATTCATTAATTAACATTTTGCAGTTTGACAAATATGACGTGCGGCTGTTGCGGCAGTAAAGATGTAAGTGGAATCAAGTTTCTCGACGATCCCAAAAAATAAAAATCGCTAAATGAGGCGACACAGGAGAAGAATTCAGTGAATAAAATATGAATCTTCTAACGAAATTGGGGCTTTGTAGCCGAAGCTGAAATTTTTGTAACCTATAATATCTTTTCGAAATTGTTCTCCAGCTAAATATAGAGAATTAAAAATAAATTAAAAAAAGAAACGAATAAATGTATTTAGTAAGGCCTCTCTACATCTCTCTGAAATCATTTCATCGCTTGCTAAAGTCTGCACGTATACGAAACGCAAGAAGGCATTCAATGCACTGCTGTCCTAGTTCAACTTCAGTTCATGCAAGTATTGGCTTACAAGGGGTTCATTTTCACTTTTGAGTTTACTTGGATCCAATGACGATAGCTTGCAAAAAACAAAGACAAACGTAAGAATGCCCGCAGCGTTTTGGAAGTTAGAGAATTAGCTCTCAGAAGTCTCGAATCTACTCAAGTTACCTCGACATAATTCTGTAAAGTAAGTGCTATCTCCAAACTCAACCTTTACTGTATAGCGCGCTTTAGCAAATTAAATTTAGAACACGAAAAGAGAGCTGCTAATGAACATATTCTAAAAGGGATTTTGGGTCAGTAACTTTCTATTAATGCGCTTGAGAGGCTTGTTTCGTAGTAATAATGATGAACTCTCCTTCTCTTTCTCTCTCTCTCTCTCTCTCTCTGACTCTTGTAACAAATAATCTAATCCGGGGCCAAATTCCAATTTACAAATTGGCAACATTATTGCAGCGTTCTGCTAGAGCCGCGTTTGAAATTTTCATGGATCGTAGCTCTGCCTTGAACCGATTTATTTCGCTTTGGTCTTTTTGAGGTTAAATCTGGTAGTGTTTGCATGCGAAAGCAGGCACCAAAGTTTGCGAGACGTACGGTAAATGAAAAGGAATTTCCATCAGCGATCGATAAAAAGATTTTGGAAACTGTATTTGAAATAACTCTCCTCGGTTAAATGGAGATATTGCAAAAGAGTATAGCTATGTGTCATCGCACAGTTAAGAAGTATATTACGCTTTTTGGGAATTTGGGTGTAATACAAATTAATTGGAGCAAAAGTTAGCTTTGTGATATGAAAAAAATGGTTTCCACATTTCTCTTCTCCCAATAAAATGCTATTCAGAATCCCAAGCCGAAAAAATAATTGTTGAGTAAATTTGGCAACACTTTCAAACGCTTTCTTGTGACGAGGTAGAAAGGCTTAAATGTATTATTAAACGCACTATCAGTCAATCAATCCGTTGGCTTTGTTAATGGTAACTGACGATGTATCGTAATATCTGCAAGATATCATGTAAGCATTCATTCCTCACCTTTTTTCTAAAGATCTAAGTTAAAGTTATTTGTGGAAATTGAATTCAAATTCTCTATGAGGCTGGACGGAAGTGCATTGTAGGATATAAAAATAGGAAAATCTGTATAGTACAGAGAACATTGCATGATGCCGTCCGATCACAAACTGAATCGCGTTATTGTTGCTGATAGGAATCCTAAGGCAGACAAGATAAGGGTTTAGTGTAACATAATAAGACGTGGATGATAGGAAGATGTCAGACCTAAAGAGATTGACAATAATAGGAAATATCGCTAGATAACTATACGTAATGCCGCGTAAGATAAAAGACCGCCCTTTTTTCTACCGAAACTTCTGCTGATCTTCTTCTGAAGCAGGAAACGGAGATGCGATTTGCAGAGTGAGTCATTTGTGTAACAATACTTTATGATAAAAAATTATAAATTTTCTACTGCCTATGCAGCCCAATGGTAGACTAAGCAAAGCTTGATTTCATAAGATGGGAACTTTTCGCTTAACTATGGTAAATACATAACTGAAATCAAACAAAGACATTTGCTTATAGTAGTAGCCGGCCGCGATAACACAAGATAATAAGTTGGTAATCATTCACGATGTGCTCCTGACTGCTAAACTGCTACTTTCTAGATAGAGCCATGACGACAAAATGCAAAATTAATAAGGGTCTGAGATGAAGACTATATAGTATCAATATTTCTTCGAAGAAATACTATATCACATGTATCTATGAAAATCTCCACAGAGTTATCTGTCTCTGAGTTATCAGTTGAATTAGTTGAAAGATTAGTCGTATGATGGCATAGACTTAGGAAAATTATATTATGTTAAAGAAATTTTAAATACAATATTTTTAAAGTAATTTAAATATCTAAAATGTTGCGAAGCAAATATTGAATGGCAAACGTCTTCTCAGGGTAGTGCTTATAAGAAAAAAGAAGAGGAATAATAATAACCGCATTTATAATAGTTCACATACATATATATGTTTACATGTACATATATATATGAATGGAAATTTAAATCAATTTTAATTTGTAAATTGCATATCGAAGCGTAAGAGTGTGAGTGAGGGAGAGAGAGTGAGAGAGAGAGGGCGACACTGTGGAGGAAAAAAAAAACAAATTCCAAACAAGCAAATAAAATGCAATCTGATTGATTGCAAATAACACGATATGAACTTTAATCGCTTATAATTCCCATAAAAAAATTGCACAAAATGTGAAATTTGTAAATGAAATGTTTTTTTTAAAATAAAAGTGCAAGTAGTGGAAAAAACAATCGACATTCAATTCAGCTGCATAAACAATAGCAAATGCCAAAAAGTAATAACAATTGAGAATTTTATTTTTTTAAAGCCATTAATTGTATTATAATATAACATAAAAAGAATAAAGACTTGAAGCGTAGAATGAATTTTGCCTTGTATTGGGCATAGTAGTAGTATTCGTTCAATTATGCATTAAAAGAGAAACTTTACATACGAGGCTTTTGAAAATCTATTTTTTCACCAGATCCTTAAGATGCGGCTAAAATTGTATTTGTACATCACACTAATAATAAAAGGTTTCCACATATAGAACAACTTTTAATAAAGTTATATATTTGGTCTTTAATATAATCCTCATGATTATTTATATAAAATAATTTCGTAACTTTCCTGCGATTTTAAGGTTCGTTTTTAAAGAAACGCTCCTTTAGGTTCTCAATTTAGACTTGGGAACTTCAGGTTGGATAGAAATCTAAGGCTTATGAAGAGTTTTAAAAAACTTAGTTTAAAGTTTTTAGCGATATCCACTGTAATATTGATCGGCAATGCCACCATTAGTAGCAGACAATAAATGCTCTGTATTGTCTATAGGCCCTGATTAAACTTTCATGTATATTTTACATATTCGCTTTCGACAAGAAGTGATGTGATTGCGCTAAGCTTGTAATTCCGGTTCTCAAACCTAATAATATTGTTATGAAATTCGCTTTTACATTCGTATCACTGGATCGTGGATATTTTGGCCAAGAGAAATACACTTCAAAGTTCTTTGATTTACAATTATATTCCTTAACAGTAGGATCATTTATTTACAATTTATTTTGGCCGTACTCTCAACCTCTATGTTCTTGCCCGACTAACTCTCCCTTCCAATAATATTCTATTTATATACATTTTTACAAGCATGTTACTGTACAATTTGTGAGTCCTGACTGCTTGGGTGCGGCCCTTCGGGGAGTACTCGTGGTGGTTGTGGTTGGCGAGTTCCTACCTAAAATGGAACAATTGAGTGCAGCTAGGCCTCGCCATTGACCAGAGTGGGGTTTATTGTTCCATACACAATAAACTGTTCTGGACTCTGGTGCTGTTTAGGCCCCTACTCTGTGGGGATTGTCTAACTCGCCAGTGGGCGTAGTACGCTTAAAAGTGGCTTGGGCCACCGTGGGGTTAAGCCTTTCAGGCAGGAACCCACGTTAAACCCTTGCCACAATTTCTGTACCTAGGGGCTTGGAACAATTGAGTGCAGCTAGGCCTCGCCATTGACCAGAGTGGGGTTTATTGTTCCATACACAATAAACCGTTCTGGACTCTGGTGCTGTTTAGGCGCCTACTCCGTGGGGATTGTCTAACTCTCCAGGGGGCGTAGTACGCTTAAAAGTGGCTTGGGCCACCGTGGGGTTAAGACTTTCAGGCAGGAACCCACGTTAAACCCTTGCCACAAATTCTGTACCTAGGGGCTACTCGGTACGAGTTTCTAAGAGATGGTGGAGGGGTTGGCTGGAAGATGAGATCACTCTACCATGTCAGTGCAATACCCGAGACCTATGAATCTCAAAGAAAAGTAGTTCATGGTGTTGGCAACCAAGGAAGTATGGTGAATCCGAACCAAGTACTGTTGTCTTAAACAACCGCTCAAAGTATGCCAAAGGCTTTGCAAAATAAACTAGGAGCCACGGGGGTCAGGAGGCTCGCCTCACAAAGCCACGTATGCCTGCGGGTGTATGATGGGCTTCATAAAGTCGTTGGAATTAAAATTTAAAAATAAGTTAATTATACAAAAAGGAATTGACGGATGGCCTTCCCTTTGGCCTATTAATTAATAAACTCTCTTGAGAATTAATACATG